AAATTATGTGTGTTGACATATTGACTGTCTTTGCATGTTTGAAAGAATAAATCAAATCAATCAAAATCAAAAATCAAAGAATAATGCATTGTGTAACCTGTACCTGTTCTGTGAACTCAGTGTCAACTTCAAATGCATATATCTTCCTCTTTCTTTCGTTGCTGTGTTTTCCACCCCACCCTGCTGGGTTTTCTCTGTAACCTGTGCTCTCAACCCCTTCAGCCTCCACCTACATCAGAGGGTTTCAGCTGTACTGAAGCTTTCTTCACCACATTTCATGCATCCGTCCCTCTCTAGTTTGTTCTTGTCACGTCACATGCACAGGCGCGGTCACATTTTTCAGCACAGTATCCTAAATGTCACATCAGACTCTTACCTCTTAACAGTCATTGTGTTCTGGCTCAACAAACCTTATCTCCTGCCCACAAACTTGGTAAGTTTTTCAATATTTATTTCCTTTCCTTTATACTAATTTTGAAAAGCTGTTTTAACTATTTTTTTGCACACATTTTTCTAATAAAGTGCTTTGACTGCTATTCTGTAAAAATATAGCTACTTGAATCATGAATTTAACTTACTATACAAATGGTCAGTTACTTTGCACACATTTAACTTTAACTGCAAGTGCACTTACATCTTTAGTATTTTTAAACTTAACCTCAATACTTAATGTCTGATCTCACTCTGATCAACCATGAATAAAAAAGTTTCCTCCCATAGCAAGATGACTGACACTGTTCAATTATCATTTTGACAGGAAACCAGCAGCGCTGCGAGCGGGCTTCTGGCTTCCTGTCATTGCAGATAACGCAGGCAGTTTTATAGTCAAACCAGATAAAGGCAATACAGACTGTTAACTCAACATATGTATGTATATCACAGTTTTGCCCAGATGATAGTGTATTATTAAGATACAATTTAATACAATGTTAAGCCAACTAAAGATTTAGCTGCAAGCTATAAAACATTTACTTTATTAATTTACTTTTTTTCTAGATCCTGAATGTAAATTCAATGTATCTCCTTCTGATGAAAACTTCACAGCTGCTTTGAAAGTAGAAGGAGTCTGACTGCAAAATTCTGCCTGTAACTGTGACACCGAGCTGTGGGATTTTGCTACTCACCAGGGAATTTTCTAAAGAGGTACAGTAAGAGGCAGAATACATTTAAAGCTTGAACACTGAGAGGATTTCTGGTGCCTGGTTATAAGTCTGTATACATATTTCTATATGTATTTCTTAATTAATTTTTTTTATTTTCCTAATGCACATTCCTTTTTCTTGTTAGCACATTCTTTTTCTTTTCTTGTTCTTTCAGTCTTATCTTGTTTACTTAGTTTATTCATTGCCTTAAGGAATAACATTGTACGTTGAACAAACCTGGCCAATAAAGCTGATTCTGACAAACTGCATTTGTAGGTTGTAAAGTTGAGATAGGACTACAGAAAACATATATGCCACAATGCAATATGTGGAATTTACACTTGCTGGCATTATTTTAATCTTCCTTACATGAAAAACCACACTTTTGTGGCACCAAAATTTTAGCAGAAAAAACAAACAATAATCAAGTATTTCCACCAACAGTCTACTTGACTGGGAAATATGCTTGCTTTCTTGCCAAGAGCTAGATAAGAAGGTTGATAATTGTACCACACATATGTACCATACATTTTGCCGTGTTTCACACAGTTTACATTTTTATGCTAAGCTAATCTAATCAGCTGCTGGCTCCAGCTTTTGAAAATAGCATAGATTTTCTCATTTAGCTCTCTGCTACAAAACCAGTAAGGATATTTCTAAATAAAAAAAAAAAAGTTCTTTTAAGAAACAGTCGTACTTAAAAACATTCAGTGAAGTTGTTAAATCCTACTGTCCAATGTGTGACATGCTAACTGAACCTTTTGTCTTTCTTCACTTCAGGCATGGGTGCATCTGACAACCCCATCACATATGAAACATCCACTGTGACTGTGCTGATTCTGTTTTTCTGCCTATTAGGCCTGTTTGCATTGCTGTTCTTCTTGTATAAGAAATTGAACAAAGAGACTGATGGAGAATATACTATCCGGCGCATGTATTATAAGGAGGGAGGGGTCAGGGACCGGGCGAGAGGTGCAGCATTGGCTCTGGGGACACGTCTTGGAGTCCATCTGTGGCCTGATACAAATGAGGAAGGAGAGGAAATGCAAGAAGTCCAAGATGAGGAGGGACAGTTGGGGGAGGGTGGTAGCCAGAGTGACAGTGAGGGGGATGACCAGGAGGAGGATGATTATAACACAGAGCATTGTTGTTTGACAAAGGGAAAAGCAGATAACAGCTCAGATGCTAACTCAAGTTTGGAGGGATCAGAGGAAGCTGATGAGCCAGAGGCAAAAGGAGAGGCAGAGGAGAAAAGCCAGGTAATGGTGGAGAAAATGGGAGAAGGGAAAGGTAAAGGGGAGGTAAGTGGAGGGGCTGAATTGTTGATAGACCTAAATAAGTTCTCTGGAAGTGCCATCTGGTCTGAAGAAGGAGATAAAGATGGGGATGTGACTGCACTGTGAGAACAGAATCAGAACACATGAAATGCAAAGAAGGCATAGGAAATCTTGTTTTAAAGCCCTCTGTCAGGAATATAATTCTGGTGGATAAATACTGAATCCTTTATGTATGTCTGTTATGTAAAAGTAGTCAAATATAGTGTGTAAGAACACTGGAATCCACCTGTAAATCACCCACTATGTGTAAGTTTTTTAATTACAGTGTAAACTACTCAGGTTGTCCCAAATGTCAGCTATGGTCTTAATTCCTGTTGAGGTATCAGGATAAAATGGTCACTGATGGATGAAGCTGTACTATACTGTATTTTGAATGTTTGTGGAAGAGTCCACCTTTTATAATGTAACTTGGCCATTGAGTTAAGAAATCTTTGTGTTATTGTATCTGTCTATCATATGCACTGAATTGTGGATTGTAGTATTTTTTCAGTGCTTTAAATGCTTTTTCTTTTTTACATAAAATTAAATAAAAAATTGACCTCACTGTGTTCATATTGTTCCTGATGACATAATTACAGCAGAATTTGGGAAAATATTGTATTTTTTACTCAACTACATTTAGTTTAGTTATTAGATATATTTCAGAATCAGATTAATAAAACAAATGCATAAGAGTTGATTGATTCCTTGTGGGAAATTCACGAACTACGCAGCAGTAATTCGAATTATAAGTATATAAAGTAGTTAAAATTAGCTCAGCTTTTACCCACTACGTTATGTGATGTAGGCCTACACAACAATCAATATAATCCAACAATATTATACACATTAACGTGAAACGTGTCATTCTGCATAATGAGCACTTTTACCTTTGGTACTTAAAGTTTGTTATGATGATAGCAATTTTGTACTTTTACAAAAGTAACATTTTGAATGCAGTCCTTTTACTTGTAACAGAGTATTTTTACACGGTGGCATTGCTACTCCTACTTACGTAGCATTGTAAGCATTGTACAAAAGAGTTCATATATAAAACTACAGCCAATGGGGATGTAGCTCAGTGGTAGAGCGCATGCTTCGCATGTATGAGGTCCCGGGTTCAATCCCCGGCATCTCCACTCGTTTTACCCGTTTTTGACAAATAGGCTATAATTTCTTACGTCGTAAGTGTTTTAACTTTTAACTAATATACGGAGGACTAAAGATATAGAATAAACAAATAGATTTCAACCATGATTTCAACAGGCTCCATATCTGAACACACAGTGAGATCACAGTAATCCGGGATTGGCCAGACAGTAAACCTGCTCGAATCTGATTGGATGTTGAAGGACTTCGAGGCGTGGGCGTGTTCACGCACGAGAATGTCAAGCATGTATTTTTCGCCGGTTGAATTATTTTCTCTGGTGGTGAGAGCCACTCGATCGAGACGTTATAGATGAGGCAATAAACGAGCCTGAGTCAAAATAAATTAAACACGAGTGTAGTGGCACATTATCAAGGAATTATATAACCAGAAATCCGGGATTTTGCAGTGACAGCCGGATCATTACTAAAGCCCCCAGACAGTTCTACACAGCTGTGAATTCACTGGAGACACTGGAGGCACTGGAGCCGATCTGTCCCGGTAAATATTTACTCATTTATAGAGGAATCCGATTCTCCCTCACAGACAGCACGGATTTGGTAACTATGCCAGCTTGCACTGCACGACGAAAGCCACTCTGTCACAGTAACCTACTTTACCGTGAGCATCCAAGTTGTATTCTCTCCTCTCACCCTAACTTGATTGTGCCGGAGAAATGATTTCAGTAGACGTCACTCATCTGCATAGGGAGTAAAATGCAATCATCCTACAAAACATTTTGCGCCTTGAAACGCTCCGTATCCTGTGCGTGTGATAAAAGGACCTACTAGCTAATCGCTGCACATCCGAAACTACAAACATGGAAGGTACAGTTTGCATGTAGTGTCACCCCCAAGATATATATTTATATCCACAGACAGGAGACACATCTGGTTTGCAAACTGTCCAAAATGGGTGCAGCGCCGCTGTGCGCAGAGATGCGCGGCGGAGCTGCAGCATCTTTAAATGCTCACCATGGTTTCGCTGTCATTTACTCATCAGTATTGTCATTTTTCACCCTTGTAGGTGTAGGATGTTACTAGCATCCGCCGTAGTGGTATGGGAATGGCTGAACGAGCACGGACGCTGGCGGCCCTACAGCCCGGCTGTCTGTCATCACATCGAGGCAGTCATCCACAGCGACCCGCGGTGTGGTAGCGTTGTCCTCGGCCAGGTGGACTCCCGCCTCTCGCCCTACATCATCGATTTGCATTCCATGCACCAGTTCCGACAAGACACAGGTGAGAAGCAGAGAGGATTGGCAGGCAGAGACGCACGGGGGAGGGTGTAATGGTGAACAGGGCCTGAGATGGCCTTGTTATTGCTCATGTGTGTCTACTTTAGCTTTTCAAGTCCTTTAGATGATCCTGCTCTACAGCCGGCTTCTTATTGGTGCAGCAATGATGTGAATGTCATTATTTTTTATTTTAGATCGGCAAATCTGGTCTCCCGTAGTTTAGATTCCCTCCCTGGATTAGGTTACATTTCATGCAGTAAAGAGCAGGGAGAGATAATGTGGGCCTGCATCTGTGATTATGAAATGTGTCCAGTCACTCTCACAGACGCTATAAACACTTAGCTGCAGACGTTTCCATCAGCGAATATGGAGATAGGAAGTCGTCTTTCACAACTTAAAGCTTCACGGAGAAGGGCCAAGCAGGGCGAGTATGACAAAGCAGGGAACTGTGGTTGTCAAATGTCTAATTTTGGCTGAAACCCCAACATTGCATCTTCTCTTTCAACAGTGGCCGACAGAGGCCTTTGTGCAGTTTGTTTTCCAAACCCAGGGGAGGATGAAATTGGGGGTGCGTCAGTCTAAATAGGAAACAGGGGAGAATTTCAGGAGTCTGAGGTCACTGAGAAAATAGATGTTATGAATGAACTCCCCTGCTGTTTTGGTAGTGACACTGTGCCACACGTACTGCATGACGCAAATTGCAGTGAAGTTCTCATTATAATTGTTTCTAAATAAGTTGTGTCATACTGTATATAAAATTATTTTTGTTGTATTTTCAGAGGGCTTCAAAGATGTGCTGCTACACATTTCCTCCTAGATCTTCTAACTCTCACTTGTACTGGACTTTTAAACTTTAAACTCTGATTTCTGGGTAGTTTTTGCCATGACACAGTCTGTGAATGTAAAATTTACTCTTTTAATTCATGCTCTGCTTTTGCTTCAAGCTCACTGATATTTAAGAAATCTTTTCATCATTTTTTGTTTCAGACACAGGTTTCACATTAGTTACTGGTTAGACTATCTCTGGGCACCCTGGGAAAACAAATACAACCAGCTTTGGGTTGGATCAAGCCTGCCAGCCAATCAGAATTCAGAACAGTGTGTGCTGTTACCAGGGGCAACCTGTTTGTCCAAATTCTTAGCAAGCAAACACAGACATGTTGAATTTGTTAGGGTTGTAATCTACTTGTCCACATTAAATAGTAGTGCAGTCAATCATTTATCACCCAGCATCATGATGTAGTTCTCTAGACTTAGTCAAGAAAGAAAGCTTCACAGTGAGCTTCATATTTCCACTTGTAGTCTTGCATGTGATCAGAAAAGCCCACTGAGGTGCAGTACATCACTGCAGGGTGCTGTTCAAATACATCATATGAGATTATAGTCTTCGTATTCAGCATGAGCCTTTCGCTTATGTTGTGACCCTGTGTTACGTGCCTCAGGTACCCTTCGACCGGTACGACGTAGCTTTTACGACCCCACCTCAGCACCAGGCCAGGGCTGGTTGTGGGAGTGGGAGAACGACGCTGGCAGTTGGACGGCATACGATACAGAGGTGGGCATCGCTATCCAGGCTGCACGCGACCGTCAGCAGCCCTGGCTGGACCTGGCACCACTGGGTTTCTGCTACCTCATTGACTTCGAAAGCATGACACAAATCAACGGGCAGACACAGCGCTGCCGACGCATCCAGCGCCGCTCCGACCTGGCTTATCCGCTAGTGTCAGGGCCCCTGCCCAAGTCCCACCATGCCTGGGGGCCCACATCCATGCCTGGCCATGGTGGATTGCTTGGTGTGGATGTATCTGGAATGGGCATGGGGCTCAGGATGAGCAGCAGTGGGAATGGAAACGGGAGTGCGTACCCCAGTGGAGCGCTCCCTGCTTCAGCCATCACCTCTCTGGGACAGCCCTGCGCCTGTCAGCAGTGTATGTTGGTGCTGAGTGTCAAAGCAGGCACCATGTCGACTGCACACACTCTTGGTCGCAGGCCGCCACAGACAAAGCCCCCTAGTCCCAAAATCAGCAGCCACGCTGTCCCAGGAGGGTCGTACTCACTCACCCTCCCCCGGCCTCCTTCCCTGTCACGATCATTTTCCCCAAACAGGACGTCCATAGTTGGGGCGACAGGTGGCTTCAGTGTCGGTGGTATGGGTGGTGCAGGAGGTGTGGGTATCATCAGTGGCAGTGGAGTTAGCAGTGCCAGCCTTGGTTTGGCGGG